GGTGGTACTGTCGATTTAACTATTGTTGTTAGTTCTTGTGTTGTTTCATTGAAACTGGTTGCATCTGGAATAAAATTTAAGATTTAACCTCAGTTATCTTGAGCTTCAATAAGACAAATAGCTATCAAGTATTTACTAATGCCAGAACAGAATAATGCATTAACATTATCACGTATTTGTCACAACATTATATATGAAATGAGTGCAATAATTTGCATTTAAACTATTATATAAGTTTGTTTATCACATATATCCATTTCACAGCTTTTAAAGACTAAGCAAGATATCGAAGTTTACGAACACGTATTCAAGTTGTCAGAGACTTTTGGTTCATTTGCATAATCGATCGCCGTGCATGAACGCCAACAACAATTTGCTTATCCAATTGTGAGAAATGTAGTTACTTTAGAGTCATCACGATATTTACAGTTTATGAATCTAAGCATATAGAATTACCAGTATATTTACTAATAATTCAGAAAATAGTGTATAAATTCACAAATATTTGAAATATTAGCTTATTTTGCGAAAGTCAATGTGTCAAAATGTCAATCTGTTTTCACGGACTAATGCAATTGCCCGGATGATTATAACATGTAGATTTATTACGCTGAACTGTCATTATATAAGAAATAAAAATCAATCTGTAACAGAATAATAATATTCTTCAGGACAGCAATAATCATCAATTATTGAAATTTATCTTTTGTGTATGACATGTGTGAGTTGATACATGTATCTGACGTAATTTAGGTTTAAAATTAAAAAAAAGACAATTCTCAGTCGATTCACCATTAGTAATGTAGGAGATAGCGATATATTTATTAACAGAAAAATATAGTTTGTCCATTCGATAGCAGTAAAATATGGTTCCATTCGATAAAACCAACACATAGTTGCATTTTATTGGACTCAACATGGTTTTATATGATAGGGCCGAAATATAAATTATGGTTCCATTCGATGACATCAACATATAGCATGCTAAAGTTTGTTTAAGAGATTACTTGGAAATCAATTTCACTATTGTATGACTACTCATATTATTCAATACACATTGTATAATCGTCTAAATAACACGATTCGCTGGAATGTTTATGAGGATTTGTTATCGATAACTTATTGTAATGATGATATTGTATTTGCAAATAATAACGAGTATAGTTTTTTTTTATAACAAAATCTGTCTTTTATGGAAAAAAATATTCAGACAACTATGAAGCACAATCGATTGTGCGCAAGTGCGCATTGCTACTGAAATCGGACACGTACACTGTAACGCCATATTATCCTCGGGGGCGGACATCCGGGCATTTTCTACCGCCTGGCAACCCTCGCGGTGAAAACAAAGACCAAAAACTCGCAGAAAACAGTACTTTGGGATGGTTGTTGAGACACCCCTGAACAGTGTAACAAGATTAGCCCTACATGTGTAACATATATGAATTTGGTTGTTCAGGATTACTTCAAAGTTGAGTTTGTGTTGTTTTCTCGAGTTTTCACCGGCTCCACAGACGTCCCACAGCAGCGCGCACAGAGCCCATAGAAATGCATGTACAGTGGTGCGCGTCTTAGCAACGTGGAACGTCTTGTGACGTAGCTCCGCCCCCAAGGATAGTATCCCAAAATGAAATAGCGTGAAGTAAATATGCTCTTACAATAATTAAATGGACATTCGGAATTGGGATCCATGACGTCACAAACTAACGTGCGAAATATAATTTTACTTCTTCACAAAAATATAGCCTAGTATAATCACGGTCTGTACGACCTATTAAGTTACAAACTTCCCGGGAGAAGAATCTGTTCATTAGAAAATTATATGTGATTATAACAAAGTGAATCATTTCTTTGAAATAAAAGACTGGTTGGAAAGTATATTTTGAATGTAAGTGATAAATTGCGATTCTATCGTTTGGAAAAGTTACATTAAACACACGTTATTACTTGTTGAACTGTTTCCACTTGGCATAGTAAGCAGTACAGATAATGTTATAACAGCAGATACAATAATTACTGCAGCAACAGCAACACCAACAAGTGTACCAACTGCAGCACCTGCACCTGCTCCTGCCCCAGCTCCTGTTCCAGATCCACTTTGTGATGAATTATTTTTGCAGCACAGTTCTTGCTTTAAAATAAAGAAATTATATGAGGTTATTACGAGGATATCTCAAAGTATGCACGAAGACAGTACAGCGGATGTATCGACCGACGCGCAGCAATGTACTGTAC